GGGGGGTGGGGGTGGGGGGTCTGGGGATACAGCTCAGTGATAGAGCATCCCTGGGTTCAATGCCCAGTACTGCCAAAAAATAAAAAATAAATAAATAAATAAAATTTTTAAAAACCTGGTTCGATATCAAATGAATGAATATCTGGAATACTATTATTATTTGGAAATGATGTCTGGAGGTTGTTTGCTTACCTGCACTGCTCGAGCTGAGAGGTTTCTTCGGTTTATTCAGAGCTGGAGCAACAAGAGAGGGAGCAACCGCAGTTTCTTGACCTTGTCTGGCAGCTACAGGGTCATAGTCTTTTCCATCATAGTTTGCATCAAAAAACTTCTTGAACCACTGCACGAACTCAAAATTATCCTGAAATTTTCCTTTTACTAATTTATCCACAGGAATTATCTGCAAAGAAAAACCAAGACTGTTTAGCCCAAAGTGAAGCTTTTGGCACTCAATCTGTCCATGCCTCAAATCAGTACAAAGTTCTGCCAAAGGGAAGAAAAATAATATTTTAGAGCTGGGCCTGGTGGTACACACCTGTAATCCCAGCAACTCGGAGGGCTAAGGCAGGAGGATTCCAAGTTCAAGGCTACCCTCTGCACTTAGCGAAGCCCTAAAGCAACTTAGCAAGACCCTATCTCAAAATAAGATACAAAATACGCTGAGGATGTGACTCACTGGTTAAGCACCCTTGGGTTCAATCCTCAGTACCAAAACATAAAATTTTTTAGAGAACTTGATGCTAAGCCCCTGTAAGTTTACCAGCCAAGTTTTGTTCAGTTTGTTTTCAAAAGGGCTAGGGATGTGGGAACGTAGGATCAATCCCCAGCACCACCAAAAACACCCAATACAAACTCTCATACACACACACACGCACACACACACACACACACCACACACTCTCACATACACACACGTATGAGTACATATATAATTCCATAAAAAATAGAAAAATTATTGTGTATAAGCTACAACTATTTAAATCATGCCTAGGAACTACATGATGCTCTTATAAATGCTTATTTTATATAATATACACAAATGAAAGAAATAATTATTAAGACTGATTTCAAAATAAATAAAAAACAGATATAGGGCTAGGGATGTGGCTCAAGCGGCAACGTGCTCGCCTGGCATGAGTGTGGCCCGGGTTCGATCCTCAGCATCACATACAAAGATGTTGTGTCTGCTGAAACTAAAAACTAAATACTAAAAAATTCTCTCTCTCTTAAAAAAAAAAAAAAGATATAAAGATATACCAGCAAGATACTTAGGGGGTATTATAAGTTTTACTGAACAAAAGTTATACTCCTAAAAATGGCTTTAAAAGATAAATCTGCTAACTCCTTAATTTTGCAATCTATTATATGCTTGAGCTAATGAAATCTGGTGGACCGTTTCTGGTACCATCAAATAACCTTGAGACAGCAGGGACTTCCCAGCACTCCCCAGGGATCCTCCTCAGCCTCTGCATAAAAAGGAAATATTTCTAGAATCTTCTCTATTGAAACTACTTATTCATATACAATGCTTTACAGAAGTAAATCCAGAGATTAAACTACTAGAGAATTTACAAAAACGTTTTTTTTTTAAATCATTATAAACAAATATATACGTTGGCCAGGCCCAGTGGTGCATGCCTGGAATCCCAGTTGCTGAAGAGGCTGAGGCAGGAGGATTGCACTAAGTAATTCATTGAGAGTCTGTTTCTAAATAAAATACAAAATAGGGCTGGGGATGTGGCTCAGTGGTCAAGTACCCCCCGTACCCACCCCACCCCACCCCCAAAATATATATATATGTTGATGCTTCCAAATAGTTACTACATTCACAGATAATGAAGACAGAAGACGGCAATGTAGAGGTAGGACAGTACAGGGAAACTTCGCTCTCTATAAATTATGTTAAGTAGAGAAAAGATAGCTATATAAATTGGGAAAAGAAAAAGAAAACACCAAAAGTCATGGGCTACCGTAAGTATCTTTAGTAATAATCATTAGTTAAAAAAATAATCTAAACAAAGGAATAAAATTTACTTACTTTGTCAACTCCCATCCTCTTAAAACCTGCTTGTAGTATTTTGAAGTTCTGGATATATTCATGTTCTAGCTTAGCTTGGAATTTCACTTTCTTCAAGGCAACAGAGCCCGGGAATAGCATGTCCATAAACTGACAATAGGCAGCTCCTGAATGAACAACAAAACAAAAAGGCCATAAACACCACAAACGTGAACTTTTTCCCAAATACAACTTAACAAAAAGTTGTAAAGGGAACCTATAAATCCCAAAACTTCGCCAGAGTGGCAAACACCTATATAATCAAACAACCTGGGAGGCTGAGGCAAGTGGCTGAAGTAGGAGAACTGTGTTCACGGCCAGCCTCAGCAATTTAATGAGGCCCTAAACAACTTAGCAAGATCCTGTCTCAAAATAAAAAAATCAAAAAGGGCTGGGGTGGCTCAGTGGTTAAATGTCTCTGGATTCAATCCCAGGTACTCTCCCCCAAAAAACCTAAAAGCTTCATTACTTCTTGAGTTCAAAGTCAATTTTTAAAAATCTATTAACAACACTGGTTTTACCTGATAAATTCCACAACACAGTTGCAATCTGGAAGCCTATTAACAAGAAGAAAAAGAATATCTATGAAATTTTAAATCTCCTATTTCTTATTAGAAATCATGATGACAGCAGGCACAGTGGTACACATCTGTAACTTCAGCAATTAAAGAGGCTGAGGCAGGAGAAGCCCAAGTTTGAAGCCAGCCTCAGCAACTTATGGAGACTCTGTCTCAAAATTAAAAATGAAAAGGGCTGGGGATGTACCTCAGTGGTTAAGCACCCCTGGGTTCAATCCTCAGCACCGAAGAAAAAGAAAGGTTGGAAAAAAAAATTTAAACTGATATCCGAAAACTGTGACTCAAAACTACAGAAGCCAGAGACCAACCCACATCCAAGTAACCTCAATTCTTTTCCGTATCACCAGAGGCCTTCACAGGACACAGTAGAGCTGAGTAAAGAAACAATTCCTAGCAGGGAACAGTGGTGCACCGTGTAATCCTAGCTCCAACAGAGGCTGAAGTAGGAGGATTGCAAGTTCAAAGCCAGCCTCAGCAACTTAGCTGGCCCTCAGTAAGGCCTTGTCTCAAAATAAAACATAAAAATGGGCTGGTACACGCCTGTAATTCAGAAGGCTAATGCAGGAGGACTGCAAGTTCAAGGCCAGCCTCAGTAATCTAAAAGACCCTGTCTCAAAATAAAAAGAGCTGGGGATGGGCCAGGGTTGTGGCTCAGTGGTAGGGCGCTTACCTAGCATGCATGAGGCATTGGGTTTGATGCTGGCACCACATAAAAAAATAAACAAATAAAGATTAAAAACAAAACAAAAAAAAGAGCTGGGAATATATCTCTGTGGCAAAGCACCTCTGGGTTCAATCCCCAGTACCAAAAACAAGCAAAGAAAATAAAAAAGGTTGGGATGGAGCTCAGTGATTAAGCACCCCTGGGCTCAATTCCCAGTACCAAAAAAGAAAAAAAAAAAAAAAAAATTAAAGGACAAAGATTTATGTATAAAACTGATTATAACTGTATTCACCAGAGTAAAAACTGTTAAGTACCGTACTTCTCACAGTAAGATCAACTACATAACTTTTAGCATAAAATCCTAACAAAAATTTGTTCCCCATTATTGAGTACTGAACCCAGCTCTACCACGAAGTTACATCCCCAGCCCTTTTTATTTTGAGACTGTATCTCACTGATTTGCCCAGGTTGGTCTGGAACTTCCAATTCTCTTACCTCAGCATCCCTAGTAGCTGGGCCACAATTAACAAAAAGTTGTAAAGGGAACCTATAAATCCCAAAACTTTTCTCTTACCTCAGCATCCCCAGGCATGAGCCACAATATGTGGTACTCGCAGAATTTCATGCAAACATTCAAACTATGTTTGTTCACTTTGGGGGGGGGGGGGACCTCAAGATATAACATTTAATGAATACGCAAGACAGAAAAACATAACCATAAGGTATCTTTATATGTGTAAAAATATCTTAATACATATGCACACAAAAACCAAGAAAACAAAGTATTAAATGAAGCCATAGGAATTTGTTTAGTAGAGTAAAAATGGTCAATAATGACCATGAGGGATGATGTAGAATGCATTATAGTTTTTCAATATTTAGCTATATACTACAGAGAATATTATTTTTATAATAAGAATACAAAAAAAGGTTAAATTTCTGCCAGGCGCAGTGGTGCACGGCTGTAATCCCAGCTTCTGAGGAGGCTGAGGCAGGAGGATCACGAGTTCAAAGCCAGCCTCTGTAATGGCCAGGCGCTAAGCAATTCAGTGAGACCCTATCTCTAATATACAAAAGAGGGCTGGGGATGTGGCTCAGTGGTTGAGTGCCCCTGAGTTCAATCCCCAGTACCAAAAAAAAGGTTAAATTTGTTAAAGAAAAAAGCTCATCAATGCTTTTTACAGGAAGAGTTGAAAACTCCTGGTCTATGTCTCAACTATGTGTAAAAGGGGCCTTCCTTCCAGTCTCTGACTTAATGACAATGTGACCAAGACAAGGGCAAATGCTGACAACACAAGCGGACTAGAAGAAGATTTCACTTTGGTGCCTCTGGCCCATCAATCTGCAAAATAAGTACAGGCCCACATAATCGATGGCTCAAGGACTCACAGAGTGTAGGATATATCATGGCACTGACTGCCACAGCGCCATTTTAACAGGCCCTGTGCTACAAGCAGAAACCACAACACAAGAGCAGGATGTGCACCAGTGTCTAACGCTTGCTTATCTCAAGTGCACTGGCTCAACCTTTTCAGGTCAGGGGAGTTAAATGAAAGCTGCAGCCAATAGTCTGCACAAAAGAGATGCTCACCTATCAGAAGACCAAAGTTTAAGAACTTTCAACGCTTTAATATTAACATACAGGAAACACACATGACTATTAAATTGAAAGTGTTCAAGGCTTCATGGAGTAGGTGAAACTTGAGTCATCTTAAATGATGAATAAAATCTGGAAAGAGAGGGCTGTGAGGAGTCATTAATAAAAACATTAAAATTCAAGCTCAGGGTATTTCAACATGGGAAAAATACAATTTTGGTTTTAAAATAGGCAATAAAGTTGTACAACACATGTGTGCTTATACGTCAATTACAGCAATGGTTTTCCAAGGGCAATAGACTAGAAATAAACTAAATATCCATTCCATCAATAGAAGACTGACACAAAGAAATCACAATATCACATAGCCATAAAAGAAAATACAGTGGCTTCTGAGATAAAAAAAAAAAAAAAAAAAAAATCCAAAACCACTGTGCTATTTTTTTTTTTTTTTGCAGGGGAGGTGGGTGGGAGGGTACCAGGGATTGAACCCAGAGTCATTTAACCACTGAACTACATCCCCAGCCCTTTCTATTTTTTTTTATATTGAGATAGGGTCTCACTAAGTTGCTTAGGGGTTTGTTAAATTGCTGAGGCTAGCTTTGAACTTGCAATCCTCCTGCCTCAGCCTCCTGAGCAGCTAGGATTGGAGGCATGTCCCACTGTGCCGAGCTTAGGACAGAGTAATTAAACACGCTATCAAAGGAGAGAACCCATACGCTCAGCATACAGGTAAACAGCCATTTTTGCTTATACAAACACATACAGTACATACATACATACATACATACATACATAAAATTTAAAAATAAAAAGGGCTACGAATGTAGCTCAGTAGTCAAGCACCCCTGGATTCATCCCTGGTACCCACCCACCCCTCAAAAAAGAAAGGCTGCAGACTGATGCAGTGTAAGAGGAGGAGGCGGGTAGGGAAGTTAGAAGGAACCCAGTATCCTTTTAGGAAGCCACTGTAGCAGCAGTGAGCTAATGGGAAAGGGGGTAGATCTCAAAGATCCTTCAGAAGACAAAGAGAATTTGTAATTAGCTTCAAAAGATGTTACTTAAACACTAGGAGTAAAGTAGAATCATGTCCTTAAATGAATAGTACTTGGAAAAGGAAGCCACCTTGAGGAGAATACAAAGCTAGGATTTAGGTAATAAGAGAGGTAGGAAAAAATATACCAGACAGCAATACCAGACCAGAAGGCAGCAGGGGAGGCCTGGTTAATGGCTTGGTCAGAGTAGAAGGCCAAGGCCATTAACAGGCAGCATAAATAAGACTGACAGCTGCCTTATATGAACTCAACGGCCATCAGGGCCACACAATAAACTGGAAGAAAAGGAAGCTTATATACCCCTCTTATTTTTTGCAGAACAAGAACTATGAAGGAGGCCAGGTAGGGAGGGAGAATACGGAGAGGAGAATGGAGAACATTTAGTGAGGTCCCTCTGTGTACAAAGCAACATGCAGGATCTTTGAGAAAAATGCATTACAGTCTGACATGGAATGGAATTGGGAGGACAGAGTTACGACTGGCAAAATGCAAACAGCAATCTCTTTCTGACAAAAGCAATTCCCCATCAAAATCATTCTCTGTGGTCAGATTTTTCCCTTGATCACTCTTTCCAAAATACTTGACAACTGGGTCTCCAAAGTAGGGAGTTGACAGAACAGTAAATCTGTTTTTTTCTTACATTCAAGGGAAAACTTCCTACTTTTTAAGCTTGGAGAATTCTGGTCTACTTGATCATGTGTTTGTTAGTTATAAGACCAGGAAGGATGAGGCACCAGTAAGAACAGCTGAGGATCTCCCTTGGGTCTCAGAAAGCATGAAGAGTTGAGGAGTCTCCCCTTCCCTGATTCCAAACCCTGGTAGCAGGCCATCTTCAGGGCAGAGTGTACAGCTCATCCTGTTTCTCACACTAGAAGCAAGATCCAGTTTTCAAAACATCAACATGAAACAAAATGCACCATACTCTAAGAGAGATCCTACATGGCTTTCAAGAGGAAGACTATTTATGAATGAGTAACCTTATTTACAAAACACAGAAGTACCCTGCACTTACCATTTTCTAACAGGGAAAAGTACTTTATCTCAGATAAGAAAAGTGGCAGGCATCATGTAAAATTGAAACACCTCACATATTCTACAGTGAAACAATGTCATTGTAATTAATTACATGAAATTTAAATCTGGCTAATTCTCTTCCAAATGCTTCTTTAAGACATAACATGTAGCTGGGCGCTGGGGCTCATGCCTACATCCCAGCAGCTCAGAAGACTGAGGCAGGAGGATCACAAATTCAAGCCAGCCTTGGCAACTCAGCAAGACCCTGTCTCAAAAAAGGCAGAGAATGTGGCTCAGTGGTTAAGCACTCATAGGTTCAATCCCTAATACCAAAAAAAAAAAAAAAAAAGACATAATATGTAAGGCAGTAGAAAGCATGTGGGTTGGATAGTCAGAAACATATAGATTGAAAACAAGGATCTGGAATGCACAAGCTATGCCTCATGGGCAATCTTCCCGCCTATAAATGAAGATGTGCCCTCTCAGAGATCTGCACTCATCTCCAGGGTGTGACACAGAATCAATACCTAAGAGCTATTATTACAGGGGACTCTCAATAACAACCAAACAGGTGGGCCGGGCCAGGCCAGGTACTACTGTCCAAGTTTGCAAATAAGGAACTAGAACATAACAGAACTTGTCCAAAGTCACATGGCTCAAGGTAGACTGGAGCATCTTTACATGCCCAGGCCTGTAAATGACATCTCCCTGGCTGAAGGACCTGTGGCTAGACTGGCACATTTCAATTTATCTACACATGAAAAAAGAATGCATTTTCCAATTAACTAAGTGAGATATACTTTGCAAGGTATTTATAGAAAGAAGTCTATAAGTTTAAGTTTAGGGAGAAACTGCTAGTAAAAAAAAGCTGTCTCTAATGAGAACAAGGATGACCTCATCTCCACATCAGTCACAGATCATGAGGCAAACAAGTGTTTTAAAAGTCTCAAACAAATGGGGGCATGAATACTCTGGAAACTTAACAAAAAATAGGAGAAAAGCAACACAAATCTAAGGCTAAAAACTGTTGTCTACAACTAGCAAAGTAATTAATGTTTAACAAACATAATTCTTGGGAACCACTTCACTGGTAACCTCCCTCTGACCGTAAGATAGAGATTAGGGGCTGGGGTTGTGGCTCGGTGAAAGAGCGCTCGCCCAGCACATGCGAGGCCCTGGGTTCGATCCTCAGCACCACATAAAAATAAATGAACAAAGATATGGTGTCCAACTAAAAAATAAATATTAAAAAAAAGAGAGAGAGATTAAACCTCACAGGGGAAATTAGCAAATGAAACTAAGACCAAGAGTAGGTCCTGGGAGTGGTACGATGCAGAGGAAATACAGAAAATGAACTTGGGAGGAAAACAAAAATCAGAAACAGCAGTAATTTTAAACAATCCAAATGGCACCTGTTAATAAAGAGAAAGTTCAAAGAGCAACTAGGATATAGGGGTTGAAGAATATAGGTTCTTGATTTAGACAAAGGTTCAGATCCCAATTCTGTTCTTAGCTGTACAAAGCTGGTCTTGTTACTTCTCTAAACCATCTTTTTCATCACAGAGAGCAACCATACCTACCTCATCAAAGTACAGTGAGAAATAAATGGAAAGGTTTCAAAAGCATTTAAATTACCCTGGCATACAAGTGTTCAAGTAAATGATTACTGTTCTTATTACTAGGAGAGACAGAGGGTTTCTGATTATCTATCCCACAATTTTTTTTTTTTTGGGGGGGAGTGGTGCTAGAGATAAACCCAGGACCTTATTTATGCTAGGCAAGTGCTCTACCACTAAGCTACATGCCCACCCCCAAGGCACGAATTTAAGTACTAGTAGGACACATATCCCATCCTTTTTCTGGCATATTTCTGATATCATCTCCTATTGGTGGAAAATCCAATTTTAATAAGCCTGACATGTTCTTTACTATGTTAGAACTCAGAAATAGTCAGCAGAACTCTCAAGAAATGAGAGAGAAGTCCATAAAGGAGCTGGACAAGGTGATGCATGCCTATAATCCCAGTGGCTTGGTCAGCTGAGGCAGGAGGATCACAAGTTCAAGACTAGCCTGGGCAACTTAGCAAGCTCTCGTCTCAAAACAAAAAGGGCTGGAGATATAGCTCAATGATAGGAGTGCTTGCCTAGCATGCACAAAGCTCTGGGTTCCATCTCCAGTACCAACAAAAAAAAGTATACAGCCGTTCAAAGTAGTATTTCTAAATTAATGATACTGGAGAATATGCACAATATAATATTAAATTTGCAAAAACTTGGGATACACACATACACAAATTATACACAGAAATGTGACAGAAAGGATCCAACTAGTGGCTTTCCTGGAAAATGGAATTTTAGGTATTTTTTATTTGGTTACTAGTTTTCTAAATGTTATACAGTCAGCACATACAGAAACGGACCACATTTTTATTCTTGCTTTAAAATCATTACCTCTCTACCAAATTGCAGTTCTATTAAAACTGGCTAAAGGAACTGGTGGTGCAGCCCAGTGGTAGAGCAGTTGCCTAACACATATGAAGAACTGGGTTCAATAAAATCAAGTTTTGTGGGCTGGGGATGTGGCTCAAGAGGTAGCGCGATCGCCTGGCATGCGTGCGGCCCAGGTTCGATCTTCAGCACCACATACAAAGATGTTGTGTCCGCCGAAAACTAAGAAATAAATATTAAAAAATTAAAAAAAAAAAAAAATCAAGTTTTGTGTCCATCTACAACTTAAAAAAAAAAAAAAAAAGGCTCAAATGGCATTTGCCTGACTTTGGTCATGTGTTTTCCATAAGTAATAAATGCCAGTAATAAACTAATAAAACTAGAAGACTGGGGGTGTAGTTCAGTGGTAGAGCACTTACTCAGTATGTATGAGTAAGGCCCAGGATTCAATCTCCAGCACCACAAAAACAAAACAAAAAAAAAAAACCTACAACAGTACTACAATTAATGTCCTCAAACAAAACATTTGAAATCTGGATGTTCAAGAGTATAGACAGAAGTTGAGGCAGAGCTCCAGGTCACAGAATGCAGTCTCTGCAGCAGAAGAGGGTAGACATGCAGACTAGAAGCATAGCCTATTTAAGCATAGCTCCTTTTAGAAGAGGAAGCAGGGTAGGCCTGACAGGAAGGAATGGCAGCTTCTCTGTGTGGCTCTGTAGGCAGATACAGGCCTGAGTGCACCCAAAGAACCTAAAGGCATTCCTAGAAAAATGATCTAGTGAATTTCTCTTACCTGAGCACAATTGTTCAATCTTTGTCAGATTCAACTGCAGAGACTCATTGATCCAGGCCAGCATGTCATGTCGACTTAGGTTATCACTGGTGACTGACGTCGAGTATACGTTCACTGCCATCTTCTACAACATGCATAGAAAAGAGAAGGACTCATATTATGGTAGGCATGCAAGTGAAGGAAAGCCTTTCCTAGTCACCCAGCATCAACCTGAGAAAATACCCAATTTGTAAGCCTCAACTTCTTCCCCAAGGTGCCAAACCAGAGACACTAGTGTTCCAGTCATAAGCCTGGGCTTCCATGTATATAAATGACTTTAGAAGCCAAGCAAGGTAGCACATAACCTGTAATCTCAACTCAGGAGGCTGAGGCAGGAGGATCACAAGTTCAAGGTCAGCCTCAGCAATTTAATGCGATTCTCAGCAACCAAGCAAGATGATATCTTAAAATAAAAATAAAAAGGACTGAGGGCTGAGCAGAGTGGCACACACCTGTATTCCCAGTAGCTTGGGAGGCTAAGGCAGGAGGATCAGAGCCAACCACAGCCAAAGTGAGGCATTAAGCAACTTAGTAAGACCCTGTCTCTAAATACAATACAAAATAGGGCTGGGGATGTGGTTCAGTGGTCAAGTGACCCTGAATTCAATCCTATTAATGCCCCCTCCCAAAAACAAAAGACAGGGGATGTTGCTCTGAAGCACCTGGGTTTAATCCCTGGTGAACAAACAAAAATGGCCTAAAATAAACTTTCCAACACCAGTCAGCCTAAAATTTAGATCCCATCTTAAGGAGACTGATATAAAATTTTAACTATAAAAGGCACTAAATAAAGGGAAAGGGCTTTATGGAGGGAGGCTGGTGCACAAACAAGAACTCTTACATTGGGCTTGGATTGTGGCTCAGTGATAGAGCGCTCGCCTAGCATGTGTGAGGCCCTGGGTTCGATCCTGAGCACCATGTAAAAATAAAATAAAGATATTGTGTCCAACTACAACTAAAAAATAAATATTTACCAAAAAAAGAGAACTCTATATTTAGAAGACATCAGTCCCAGTGTAGTTCAGAGAGGGCATCCTAATCTTAGCATGCATGAGGTCCTGGGATTAATCCCTAGCACCATGAACACACACACTCATCAGTCCAAGTATTTTATTAAGACATCAAAATGCTTACAGTTTTCTTTCATTACTTCTTTTTACCATTTTCAATACTTACCAAATTGTCTTTAAAGACTATATCTACTTTCATAATTTTCAATAACCTAGATACTATAAAGGTATGTCAAATGACAATCTTACAAGTGAAGAGTCCTTGATACTAATTCTCTGCTGACAACCCTCTGCAAGATCCACTTCATTCTCATTTTCTTTCTTTCTTTCTTTATTTTTATTGACTTTATTTTTTTAAATACACGACTGCAGAAATGCATTACAATTCTTATTATACATATAGAGCACAATTTTTAATATCTTTGTATGTAAAGTATGTTCTCGCCAATTCATGTCTTTATACGCGTACTTTGTGTTTTTTTTGTTTGTTTGTTTTTTGTTTTTTTTCACTTTCCTCATTTTATAAGTGAAGAAAGGGAGGCCCTGGGGATTGGCAGCCAAGCATGCCCAGACCCATCAGCCACACTCTCAGAAAACATTGCCCTCACCTTTCTGCCAGGTTTTCAAATTCAAAACATAAACATAAAGCAACAAATCTCATTGAATTTAATTATAACTATTTTATTTTTTTAGACAGAGTCTTGCTACATTGCCCAGGCTGGCCCTGAATTCCTGGGCTCAAGTGATCCTCCCGCCTCAGCCTCCCAAGTAGCAGGGACTTATAGGCACATACCACCACACTGAGGTAATAAATCTCACTTGAAACACAAATGGCTGGGGATCTAGCTTAGTGGTAGAGAACTTGCCTAGCATGTATGAGACCCTGGGTCCAATCCCCAGCACTGCGAAATCAAAAAATAAAACACTAATAAATGTGGATACCATCGTCGAGGAGTCCCATTTGAATCATCCATCACCTATTCAACAAATTATTTTCTTGAAGCCAGGCATAGTGGTGCACACCTGTAATCCCAGTGACTGGGAAAGCCGAGGCAGGAGAATCGTAAGATTCCAGGCCAACCTCAGCAACTTAGTCAGACCCTAAGCAACTGTCTCAAAATAAAAAATAAAAAAGGGCTGGGGATATGGTTCAATGATTAAACAACCCTGTATTCAATCCCCAGTACCAAAAATAAATATTTTGCTGATCTCTACCACAGGCTGGGCACTATTCTAGGAACCTGAAAACAGACATGCAAGAGGGACAATGTGCCTGTCTGTAGGAGGTGACATTCGAGTACTGGGAAGTCTGACAATGACCCAACACAAAAAATCTCATTTTACACCAAACACTTGGCCAAAGTGGGTTGTGGAATATGGATGGGGAAGCCTCTCTGAAGTGACAGCAGAGCTTAAGAATCAGAAGGAAGCAACCACATCTGGAAGAATGATGCTACAGCCTAATGAACAAGAGGGAAAACAGGAACACAAATGGGAAAAGAAGTCAAGAGGCCAGATCATGTTAGGGCTCTTCAACCCCAGTAAGGAATACGGACTTTATTCTGTTACATGAATCCACTGTTGAGTTTTAAGTAGGGCAAAGTCTCATCTCATTAAAGTCTGAAAAAGATCACCTTAACTGCTGCTAGAGGAGAAGGCAGGGAGGTATGACTCAAGCAATATGAGATAAAGGAAGCAGAGAGGGAAGACTCATGCAGTATAAGAATAAGGACAGGCTACTCAGATCTAAATGAAACCCCTGGGCAGTCACCATGAGAATACCCCGTAACACAGATTTTATAGTGACCTTGACACTAATAGTTTTCCTCATTTCGTTAGACATCAACATTGCCAATGGTGCAAGAGGGGTGGGATTCACAGCAATCTGGAACTATCATCAAATTCAGCCTTTTGCTCTCTTGTGGCACCTCGTTCCCTCACCTAGAGTACGAGTTGGACTTCCCACATCCACCTTCTTCAGTAATCTACCTTGTAAGCCACATTCTCACACAGAATGTGAGAGCAAGAATAGTCAGGGATCCACCCATCCAATCTCCTTATGCAGGGGTGAATGGGGTCTAGAGAGTTAAATGACTTACCAGCTCTGTGCCCTCAGAGATCCCAACTGTACTTGACACAAAGCCTTGCACACAGTGAGGGCTACTAAAAGCTACCTGCTGTCAGGATGTACAGGGCAATGACAAAGAGAAAAAAGTATCTACATAAACTTTTTTTCAGAAAGCAATCCATCAACACTCTCACATTCCCGAAATCAGCTGATAAAAACATGTTATGCAAGAGAGCCAAACAATTTAGTTCCTGACTCCATTGGAAATTAATCCCTGTTTTTCCAGAACACTTCATTCAAACCTCTATGACTGCTGTAATCATCACATTAGATTGGCAGTATTTCTTCATTTCTGAACCATTCCTAGGTCAGGCAAGGATCAGAAAGCAATCCACTCCATGCACAGAGCCAATGATTTCAAACCAGGAGAACCTGGGTTTTAATGTGAGGCCATCTCTCATTAGTTGTGTGATCTTGTGCAAGTTACTGAAACTCAAGGTACATCAATTATCTTGTAACTTAAAACAACCTATTTGAAAAGGAGATTTATTTATTTATTTTGGCTTGGGAATGTGATTCAGTGATAAAGTACTTCCCAAGTATGCAGGGAGAAATTTAAATGAGATAAGAAATAAAATACTCTCCACTGTATTAAACATAAGAGGAATTCAACAAACATGACCCAAGGCTGCCACCCTGTTTCACACATTATCTTCAGTACTAAAAACAGTACCTGAGACCCATTACCACCATCCCTCATGGAAATCCACTGTCAAGTCTTCAAATTACTCTGTCTCAATCTGTTCTTACACAGCAGCCAGAAAGAATTTCCTGAATCACAAATCAGATAGTGTCTCCTGTTTTAAATCCCTGAGCAAATCAATGGAATGTATATTATGTGCAAAATGCTAATATCAAATACCAAAGAGAAACATCCAAACAAAAAAACATGGTCCCAGGCTGAGCACTTGCAGTCTATCTTGATGACATTCATGTGTACACTGGGTATTGTGCATTGCTACCATAAAATTTAAGCTGCTGATAAAGCCACGTGTCTCCTGACCACACCTCAGCTGAGAAAAGGTTAGTGGCCTTTCATCATCATATAATTTTAAACTCTTTCATTAGCAGTAGATTAATAGCTAGTCCCATGTGCTCCACAAACTCTTCAGACACTAAATACACAGGATTAGGCACCCTGTGGATGTGCAATAAACATTCACTGACTTGAGCAATTAAGCAGCTCTTCCAGGCAGTCAAAATAGCCTAGTTCTCAGACCGATAGCTCCCTCTAGCTCTTCCTCATTAAAAATTCCATTGCCTGGCCCTGGGGTTATAGCTCAGAGGTAAGAGTGCTTGCCTAGCACATGTGAGGCACTGGGTGCGATCCTCAGCACCACATAAAAAAATAAAGGCATTGTGTCCATCTATAACTAAGAAAATAAAATTAAGTTAAAATTAAAAAAAAAAAAATCCCATTGTCTGCCCTCAATGGAAGACCCAAGACTACCCACAAACCTTACCTTCCCAGAACTCTTCAATCCAAGTTTTGATCACCATGAAAAAGCCCCCCTGTCTAACCAGCTAGCACAGCACGCTCTCTCGCTCTCTCTCCCCCCCTCTTTCTTCCTTCAGCAGCTCTCTTAGCAGGTTCTATCACTTGTTCTAATTCTATGCTAGCTGAAGAGCACCCAGTTACTCTCAAGGCACAACCCTGTGTCCTATAGAAAAAGCGGGAGGGAGGTGCCAAAAAGAGTTATGTGACGCTGGATAAAACACTTTCCCCACCAGTGGTGACTCAGAGGCTGAAGCAGAAGGATCATAAGCTAGAGGCCAGCCTCAACAACTTAGCAAGACTCCATTTCTAGATCAAAAATAAAAAGGACTAGCTAATTAAAAAAAATTAAAAATAAAAATGATGTAGTTCATTGATACAACCTGAGGTTCAATCCCTAGCACCAAACTAAATAAATCCAAGGAAAAAAAAAAACTTTACAAATGGTTCATCTGTAAAATGGGTAAAACACTTTTACACAGAGTGGTGGTGAGAATTAAATGAGAATCTAGCTGAAAACACTGAACTGAAAAGCGCACCGGTGCCAAGTTTCCCTTGTGTCAGAAACTGCTATGCACACTCTGACACACCACAACCAAAGGCCCATCTAAACAAAATGGGCTTTCTAGTTCAGAAATTCAAGAAAAGTGTGAAATAAAGGTTAAGAGCCTGGATTCTGGAGCCACAGGTGCGGGTTTAGTCATTTGCCAAGCAGCATAGGCAAGTCTCTTCACTACTCAGAGTCTCAGACTCATTTGTAAAATGAAGGTGGCTGGGGACATAGTTCAGTGATAAAGCTCTTGCCTAGCATGCATGAAGCCCTGGATTCACCCAGCATCAAAATCAATAAATAAGCTCTCTAAAAGACAGTGTGAATATAAATGAAATAATGCCACATCAAACATTGAACACAATGCCTGGCACACAGCAAGTGCCAATTAATAAAGATCCATCTTTATTACTATTCTCCCGTCGTCCCATCAAAGAGGTGGAGGCCAGGTCTGGCAATAACTTCCCTCAGTGGGCTTCAGGACCCTCCTCCCCAAAATGGAGCAGAGGTCAGTTTCTGCCCTGTAGCACCCCAGGGCAGCTAAGAAATGGCCACCTGGAAATACACTGTGATATCATCCTACATTGTCCTCCTAGTAATTACAGAAATTATCTTGTCAATGTATTCATTTTCTTTTCCTAGCTCTCTCCTCACGAGGCAGACTCCTGGAGAGCATGTCTTTGCCTGCCTACTCCCGGGTGTGTAGCACGATGCCCAGCACCTAGTGGGCCACTCGACAAATATCCCTTGAAGGAAGGAGTACAAGGAGCTGGCTTACTTTTTGCCAAGCACCATGTAAAGCCCTTTCTGTACGTTGTATTACTGTGCACGTTTTACAGATGAGGAAGCTGAAACCCAGACATTACAGCACCTGCCCGGGGTCGCCGAGCAAGGAATCGAGGCCACATCTGAACCCCCACAACGAGCCCACCCAAGAGGCAATACCGCCTAGCACTCTGCGGGTTCCAAGAGCGCCCGGCAGGCCCACCTCCCTCACACACCCACTCCGGGTCCACGGCCCAGGGACCTCGGATCGCCACCGCGCGAGTTCCACACCTCGGCGGCGACCCAGAAGCCCCCAAGCCGAGGAGGAGCAGCCCCCACTTCCGGCCCGAGGCCCCGCCCCCAGCAGAGCACAGCGCGCGCCCCTCAACCCAGGCCGCGCGCTCCGGGTCACGGCCCCGCCCTTCCCCCACCCGGCCTGAACCGCACTGCCGTGTGGAGCGGCCTCCCGCAAGGCCTGCTTGTGCCTGCCTGCCGTGGCTCACCCGGCCACCCCCATGGCCGCCGCCCTATTCCCGCTAGCCGCCTCACCGGCTCTCGGCGGAACCGCGTCCACTGCCCGCGCCCGGCTCCGGTTCCGTCTTCGTCTCGTTCAAACCGCCCGACCCCGCCCGCCCGCGCGATGACCTCACACGCACCCACCGCCCGTGACGCGCCGACGTAAGGGCTCGTCACGCCAGCCGGCTCCTTTTATAGAGAGGGACTCGGCCGCGCGCCGGGGGCGGAGCTCAGCCCTTGATCGACAGCTGTTAAGGTCCAGGAGGCGGGGCGCCGATTGCAGCTACGGAGCACGTGGTCTGCTGCAGCCAATGAAGTCCCGCCTCAGGCAAGGTGTGACTGCCTAGAAGGCGGGGTCGAGTTACATGTTCTCCGTTATCCAAAAGAAAATGGGTTTTATAATGAAGTTTTACAAAAATGGATTATTGAGAAGATACTTGGTACGTGCCTTAGAGAAAATCTTGAAATTCACCTCAGAGACATGTGTGTGGCCGCCCTGTTTGTAATGTCTCTGAAATATCTGGTTTATTTTCTTCCTAATAGTACTTGAAGTTATTCTTATTACTTGTCTTTTCCTTTATTATGTGTCTTTCCATAAAATCCACAGACGCAAACCTCCTATTTTTGTTCCAGCCGTGTCCAGTACCTGTACCTGGATTCTCATTAAAACTTTACTGAAAGAATCACACCACTTTACCAGAGAGGAAACTGAGGGTCAGAGAGGCCAATTGACTTCCCAGAATCACAGAGCTTGATCCAGACTTCGGGCTGGTTTCTTTGTCTAGATATAATTTTATTCGTTAATTCAACAAGTATTTACTTTTTCCTAAGAAGGTCCTAGGGATTTGATGGTGAGCTCCGTAAACATCAAAAGTAGTCTCTAACCTCTTAAAGTTTCTAGTATGGAATAGGAGGCAAAGAGGACACAATGACAGAAATCCCTATTTAATTTCAAATCATACAGTGCTAGGCAGGAGGAGTATACGGCAGGGGTGATGGCACTTGTGTTACGTGGAGTAGAGTCCTAAAGGTGCCTTCTGGGACAAGTCTCACCCCTTAGTTGCTGAAGCCTAGCAAGTGTTCAGAGAAGAATGGGGAGCTGGGGTGGGAGCTGTTTATCAACCCGCCTGGGAACATTTTTGATATTCCAACCTCCAGTACATACTGGTAGTCTCTGTGGCATGTGCTACTCCAAGAGCATATCACAAAACTTGACATCACTCCCACAGTGTGGGATGACTTCCCTGAGAGGACACTCATCTTGAAAGATGAGGAGTTAGTCTAGCAGAAGAGTTGGGAAAGGAGAGGGCAAGCAAGAGGCAATAGCAGTTGAAGGTGGAGGAAAACACCTGTAATCCCAGCTACTTAGGAAGCTAAGGCAGAAAGATTCCAAATTCAAGGTCAGCTTTGGCAATTTGGTGATACACTGTCTTAAAATAAAAAAGGGTTGTGGAGGTAACTCAATGGTAGAGCACTTGCCTAGCATGTGCAAAGCCCTGGATTCAATCCCTAGCACTGCAAAAAAAGAAAAGGAAAAAAAAAGTGTATAAAGTTCTTGGACCACTTTCAGCACACAGTATGTGCTTACTAAATGTCAGTGATGCTGGGCATGGTGGCACTCACCTATAATCCCAACAACATGGGAGACTGAGGCAGGATGATTGCAAATTCAAGGCCAATTTCTGCAACTTAGCCAGACTCTCAGCAACATAGTGAGACCGAAACATCAAAAGCAATCTCTAACCTGTTAAAGTTTCTAGTATGGAATAGGAGGCAAAGAGGCACAATGACAGAAATCCCTATTTAATTTCAAATCAGACAGTGCTAGGCAGGAGGAGTATATGGATCAAAATAAAGTAAAAAGGACTGAGGATGTAGCTCAGTGGTAAAGCATCCCTGGGTTCAATCCCCAGCACCAAAAAAATAATAAAAAATAAATGTTACAATGTCTGATCCTTTAACTTAACGTTAATTATCAAGATATATCAATTGGGTTGGGGGCATGCTCAGTGGTAGAACGCATGCCTAATACTCATATGAGGCCTGGATTCAATCACCATTATCACACACACACACACACACACACACACACAAAATGATGTCAATTAATTGGTGTCAGCATTACCTACAGGCCATTTTGTTTAGGGAATGAGGACTTTAGTATGGAAGATGAGGTCAGTAGAGAAAGTCAACAAGCACATCTAGGGCCAGACCTGCTTCTAAACACATAGTGAATCACAGGAGGTTTCTGAACAAGATCCTCTAAAATAAAACTCACTCACCCTCCCACGACAGTTCCTAAAGAGATGACAGAGAAGATGACAGAGAAGCCCTACTCAGAGTCCACATCTCCAGCCTTTTTTATTTTTATTTTGAGGCAGGCTTAGGCTAAATTATCCAGGCTGACCTCAAACTTGCAATCTTCCTGCCTCAGTTTCCAAAATCCCTGGGATTACAGGCATGTATCACCACATCAGATGATAATATGCACCTTTAAGCAACTGTTTTAATTATTTTTATGTGATGCTGAGGATTGAACCCAGTGCCTCACATGTGCTAGGCAAGCATACTACCACTGAGTTAACAACCGAAGCTCTTCTGTTTTAAAGTGTGAAATAACCTCATGATCACCAATAGAAATTGTGAGTCTCCTCAGCAAAAACAAAACACCTTGTCTTCAAGGCCTGAGTTTTAGAAGTGTATGACAATTTCATTGAACTAAAAAATGGAGGTAGGGGAATCTCTTCTTTATATAATTAAAAAACTGTGTTGAGGAACTGGGCACAAGAGGGCATACAACTCAGGAGATTGAAGCAGGAGGATTATAAACTTGAGGCCAGCCACAGCAACTTAGCATGACCCTCAGCAACTTAGACCCCATCTCAAAGTAAAAATTAAAAAATGGGATGTAGCTGGGAACAACGGCATGTCTATAATCCCAGCACTTCAGGAGGTTGAGACAGTAGGAACGCGAGTTCAAAGCCAGCCTCGGCAACAGCAAGAGGCTAAGCAACTCAGTGAGACCCTGTCTCTAAATAAAATACAAAATAGGGCTGGGGATGTGGCTCAGTGGTCGAGGGCCCCTGAGTTCAATCCCTGGTACTAAAAAAAAAGAGTGGGATGTAGCTCAGTGGTAAAGTGTCTCTGGGTTCAATCTCTAGTACCACACAAAAGAAAGAAAGAAAAGAACTTGTACTGAGGGTTTCATAAGCTAGTGGAACAGATGACTACAAAAATAGGAAATTATAATAATAATTATAATAATAATCCATGTGCTGACATGGATTCTTCCATCCGAATTCAGGGAAAGAGGACTCCAATTAGGGAAGAGCTCTTCTCCTGCCTAGAACAGGGGTAAGGAAGGTTTCTCAGAAGAGAAGGCTGTTCCAAGCAGAGATATATGAAGACTCAAAATGAACAGTTGTCAACACTAGTAAAGCCAACCTGTTTTCTTTCTGCAATGCTGTCAGTTCAGGATAAGCCAAAGCTCAGAAAATAGAGACAGGCTCCAAGACCTGAAGCCCCAGGCTTAATGCACTGTGACTTATGTATGTCACAACTAAAAATCTAAAAGAAGGTGACCATTCTGAGATCGCCCACCCTCCAATTCTCAAATGTGTTCTCCTTGCCCTTTATAACAAAATCTCTTGTCCTTCTACTCAAAAAACAAAAACTAAAAACTAAATGCAAGCATGTGATTCTAGAATGGGTACTAGACCTAACAAAAATATATGTAGAGCTAGGCCCAGTGATAAATGCCAGCAATTCAGCAAGCTAAAGCAGGAGGATCATGTGTTCGAGGCCAGTCTTGGCAATTTACTGAGGCCCTAAGCATATAGTGAGGCCTTGTCTCAAAGTCTCAAAATTAAAAATAAAAAGGGCCAGGAGGTGGCTCAGTGGTAAAGCACTCCTGGGTTCAATCCCCAGTATAAAAAAGAATGTATGTTTTTCTTTCTCTATGAAGATATTTTTGGAAAAAAAAAATAACAAAAGGTATAATTGGAACCATTGGCAAAACCTACATAAAGCTTGTAATCTATATAAATAAATGGATGATTGTTCATTCCCCCACCCACCCCGCTGAAGTGCTGGATATTGAACTCAGATATGCTCTCTGGTGGAGCTATACCCCCCAACCCTTTTTCATTTAAGACAAGGGCTCACTGAGTTTCCCAGACTGGCCTTGAACTTGGGATCCTCCTGCCTTGGTCCCACCACACCGCGCTGAATGTTCATTTTCCGTTTGTGATAAATGTACTATAGTTACATAAGAGAATGTTCTAGTTTTAGAAGATACACACTAACAGATTTAAAGGGACAGAGAGACCATGTCTGCTTCTTTCACTTTGGCTCAGGGAAAAAAAAAATTAATATAAAGGATGACAAAGAAAATGGGGCCAAATGTTCATATCTGAATGGCTGTCACGGAATTCTTTGTACTAGTTCTGCACCTTTTCTCTAAGTCTAGTCTAAAATTATTTTATAAGTTTTTAAAAACCAATAACTTTTAATCAGGAAGAAGGAAGGAAAGGTAAGAAAGAAGCTAAGGAGCAAGAAAGAAGGAAAGGAAGCAAGGTAGACAGCAGCTTCTCCCCCAGGCTGGAAAACAAACGCAAATGAGGTGAGATCCGCAAAGTAGGCTTTACCTGCGTGGAGGTGCACACCTGTAATCCCATTGGCTCAGGAGGCTGAGGAAGATTCAAAGCCAGCCTCAGCAGTTTAGCTAAAATTATTCAATGAGACCCTATCTGTAAATAAAATATTTTTAAAAGGGCTGGGGATGTGGCTCCTATAATCATGGTAATCAGGCCTCACCTCAGGCTGCTAGAATTCCCTAATAATAAAAAGCAGTTCTCATTTGTGCTTCCCAAACGTTGAATTACTAGATTCCACGTATCAGCCCTGGGAAGGGCTGCTTTACAGCTGGGTAAACCAGGGCACAGAGGAGTACAGCCCAGGTCTCCAGCCAGTTGCTGGGTGAAGGCAGAACAGGAACTCCGTCTGGCTCCATGGAGGAAAACAAGGACCAAGTACAGCCCTGGAGCAGAGACTTGTCTATCCAGTACTGAACCCCAACACCACCATCATGAGATGGCAATGTCACAGACCCTGGACACAAACCCACAAAACTGCTTCAAAAATTTCCTACATGGGATGCAAAATGAGCTCTTTACATTATGTTCTCCCATTGCCACAGGCCAGAATCACTCGGATCCAACCATGGACCCATCTTGAGGAAACACAGGACAGTTTCTGATGCCTCCCCCAGCCTGCTGCACAAACAGATCAACATACCCCAGGACCCCTCACCTGGAGGGCTAGTCCACCTCTTCTCTTGGGATTCCAAGGCCGGGGCTGTTTGTTTTGCTTCATCCTGTCCTGGCATTTAGAGCAGCACTGTACACAAGATGACTTAATTGGGCAGCCAGGGCCCCTGGGGTCTCTTACACCTCACGGGGAGGAGGCCAGGCCCAGCCTCTTGCTAATTACCAGTTGTCTCACCATGGCAACTCACACCTGGGCTGTTGTAGCCAGTGGCAAATTTCTAATAACACATTTGGTTCCCCATCCTTCCACTCCCCAAGCTTAGTCACTTAACCAACTGTGGGCAAGACCCTTTGGAAGCATGGTGGACCAAGGCGTGTAACCATAGAGAAGGGCATGATTGTAACCCAGGTAGAAAAAGTATCAGAGTCTGTTTGGTGCACAACAGATTAACTGGTGGCCAAGAGGGTCCCATTCACATCTCACTCCTTCCCTTTCTGCATTCACTTGTTGACAAGGAGACGTTTAACCTCAGAGATGTTTGTCTGGGGTCCATGATGGGCTCTGGCTTAATGTCAGACACACATACAATAAATACTCAAGGAATAGTCTGGGATGTCAGTTCACAGAGAACCAACCACACTCTATCCCAACCAGGACGGGTGGAGAAGGACAACTTGGCAAGTTTGGAAGAAGTGCCAAGGAAACCACAAGGAGAATCAACCCTGGGGTTTCTTGGTGGATATCAGATTCCCAGATGTCTCAGCTTTCTTTAAATGAAATAACCATGTTTGGGTACCAAGGTTCAGACTAGCTCAGTGTGGTCAAGGAAGAGCACCTTCAAAGTCCTAGAGCATACATTATAAACTGAAGGGGGGGACCAGCAATCAATTGTCACAGTCCTCCAGGGGATGCAGAGTTCTCAGGACACTGCGCTAGACACCAAGGGCCCATGTCTTCCTGGGCTACTGTCCTATTCCACACTGTTGAATGAATGAAATGACCTATTTCCAACACCAACCCTTCCACTTTGGCCAGGCCCTCCCATAGCCCACCCCCAACCACCCGACCTGCAGAAGAACAAAAGGAAGAACAAAACGCCAGCCTGTTATAGAGAAATACTGATTTTAATTAAACAGAATAAGGTAAATTCTAGGCATCCGTGTCATCTTTCAGCCTAAAAATTAGCAGAAACAGTTGAAAACAAGGCACGGTTTTTCCCCATACTTGTTATGTGGCTCCAGTTACAAAAAAAAATTTTTTTAATGCAAATGTTAAACATAAAAATAGAAGTCTTGAGAGTATTTTTAAAAAGTGTATAAAAAGCCAAGGTTGTCAAGGTTGTTCCTGATTCTAAAAATAGCACCAGATAAGAGGAGTAAAAGGTGTTAAAAACCACTACAACAGCATTTCTGAAATGCAGCTTGTCCGACCTCCCTTTCCCCTTAAAAATGACGTTATCATGGAATAAAAAAGGATTTTAAAATCTCTGGAGGAAGGATGCAGCTTTTATTGCAGCTTTCCCCTGCCATCTCTTAGATGAGGGGCAAGTGTGAGGAATGTGCTTCTGTCCCTGAATGTCCAGAAAGGATGAGGAATGTGAGCATCCAGGTTCTCATCTGGGGACCTGTGCCTGTCGGTGCACGGATGGGGGGGGTCTTACCTAGCTCAGCCCCCTCCTTCATGCCCCTCATACAGGAAAGAGGAAGATGACTGAGAAGCTAACTTCTCCTACATAATATATGGCAGCTTATATAATTCCGGCCCACCCCTTCCTGAGTGCCCCAGAGACTTCTATTGCAGATTCCAGGAGGGATTTAGCTAAGGGGGGCTCCTGCCCTTGGGTTTATGGGGAGGGAAATCGCCCTGAATGAGATGATGATGATGATGTCATCCCTGCTGAATCACCATCATGGTGAGAAATACTCTAATGGCTAATGGCCTTGGACTGAGACAAAGGGAATGTGGTATCACAAATAGGTATCACTTCCTCTTCTGGTAGCCCTAGGGAAAAAACATTCATGCTGGACCTTTAAAATGTCCCTCACCATCTACAACTGCACACAGAGCTGTAGACACTTTTAAAAAGTCTTGCAATCAGTCTTGGGTGATTTGGCATTCTAACCTGAGTATATGAGGGCTGTGGGTCTGTGGTTTTGGTATCTTAGCCATTGTTTCTCTGAGTGGTAAACCCAAGAGGGAGGAAAAAAGCCATTTTACTATCTACTTCAAGTTTTAGAAGAAAAAAATGAGCACCGTGTTTGGCTGCTCAGAGCAGCCAGGTCGGAATTGTGCACAAGGGGGTGGCACCTTGGCCACCCCTGCAAGAGAGGATCAGGAGGCTCTGCTCCCAGTGAGCAGGAGGACTAAGGGGAGACCCAACACAGCTCAGCTGAGGGCAGAGGGTGCCTTTAGGGATCAGGGTGCCTTCTGGGTACTGGCTCTGTCCCAGGAACCCTGGTGCCCCAGCAGGCCTGGGTAGAACTATTCACATGCAAAGTAGTCCTTCAGGGGGGCGAAGAGGTGTCGGATGACGGGCACACTCCAGGACCGCCCAAGCAGCTTCTGGCGGGCACCGCGGCCCATGTTGGACACATCCGTGTAGTGCACAGGAAAACCGAAGATCCTGGGAGGGCACCAGGGGGAAAAGACAAGGAGTGAGAAGGGCCCATCCCTCTAGCATGCCCACAGCCTCTGGGGAGGAAATCCTCACCTCAACAAGTCCCTTCCCTTAACTCAAGCCCCCTGGGCCTGCAAATAACCCTTTGTTGAACACCAGAAGGTCCAGATGGGCTGGTTCCTCAGAGCCCTTGCTCATGAGATGGACGCAGTGGCACATGCCTATAATCCCAGCAACCTGGGAGGCTGAGGCAGGAGGGTCATGAGTCCAGCCTCAGCAACTTAGTGAGGCCCTATCTCAAAATAAAAATAATGGCGGAAAATGTGTTTCAGTGGTTAAGCATCCCTGGGTTCAATCCCAGTACGTGTACACACACACACACACACACACACACACAGGGGGGAGGTCAGGAAAACTTGATCAAATGATCGTCATGAGGCATGGCTCCTCCAAAATCATGAGTTCAAGCCCAGCCTCAGCAACTTAACAAGACCCTGTCTCAAAAAAATAAAAAAGGATTAGGATGTGACTCAGTGGTGAAGCACCCTTCGGATCAATTCCAGACACAAAAAAAATTTTTTAAATTAAAAATTAAAAAAAAAAAAAAAACCCACAATGATTTTCCATCAGACTTGGGTACGTTACAGTGAATATATCTAAGCATTCCAGTTTTGTCCATAGGGATTTACCTGGCCTCTTAAAAAGCTACAGATGTGCTGAATTGTCCAGGTTTAGAACCAGTACTAAAAATAAAATCAATGGACCAATAACCGAAAGTGTGCAACACCCCAGGCCTGTGTCTTGCTTTGCCATAGCATGTACCCTGGGACAAATATCTATAGCAACCCTTCCATCATATCTTCACCCCGATGTGGATACATTCATGAGTAACATTGTTATCAGTTTTCTCTCTCTGCCAGTCAGAAGTTACTTCAATACCAAGATATAGCTAAGTGAAATTTAAAAAAAAAAAAAAAAAAATCAAACCAGAGTTAAAATATCTAGAATGAAAATATTGTTATGAAAGTCTTCTGAATATAACCAAAATGTAAGGAGGAAAATTCATAGCCTTTAACATGACTTGCAAATAATAATTTTGAAAAAGACAAGTTAGACCAAAATGGTAAAAACAAAAAAATTTACATCCAAGCTTGTTCTTGGTATCAAATTAGAAGAAGGTAGAGACAGACTGTGGCTGAGGAGGAATCAGCTAGAGAATGAGCAACTTTGCACAAGAAAGAGCAGGTCTTTAGCTGGTCCCTCACACACCCTAGGCCCCGGGACAAGGAGCTCTCAGGGCAGCACAGGCGGTGCCCGGTGATGCCCAGTCTGCTAATCTCAGGTTCCTCACCACCGCCCGCCACTTCTGCCCAGAAATAAGGGCTGGCTCTATAAGGGCATTTCCACCAAACCCACACACAAGGCTGGGAAACTGTGGAGATGTGGCAAGCACCTGCCCCTTGGTGCGGCTGGCCTGGACGGCTCCTTCCTCCCCTTTCTGCCGCTGTGCAGCCTTGCTCACCTTTCGAGCTCAGTGCACCACAAAACATCTTCTTTGCCATTCATGACAACAGGGAAAAGTTGGTTTTTCCCCTGTTTGATGGAGTTGGACTTGGTGGTTATTGTCTGCACTTTCTTTAACTGGAGAACAAAATGATATATCACGGAGTAAGCACAGCAGGAAAGGTTCCAGGTGGGATTCAAGGCTCAAAAGCCCTGAGAAAAGATGGATGGAGCACAGAGGGCAGGTGTGTGGGAGACGGGGCAGGGTAGAGCTGGCAGCCAGAGTGAGAAAAGGAGCTCACGAAGGACAAGAACATTGTGTGCTTCCCACAAATGCCAAGAAGGTAAGGCACAGCAAAGACCAGCCTTGAGAGAATGAAATGAGCACCAGGTACCTATGCATGAGATCACCGGGAGGGGGGGCCAGGGCCAAGAAGAGTTATTATAAATAAAAGGCAGCCAGAGTTTGGAGAAATGGTTCTTTGCTTGATGCAGACATGGAGAATTAGGTTCACAGACGTCTTAATGTATTTATCTGTGATGTGACAGTAGTTAATTTTTTTGCAAGAGCATCATTTACGTTTATTACTGGAAGGGCCAGCTGAAATTGCCTCTTATGTATCCAGCATTAACAATTGGAAAGGCAAGTTGTCTGTTTCCCACAGTGATTACTTGTTTATCAAGAATGTCTCCTACACTTAAGAACAGAACAGTTGTGTGGGAGAAAGAGGCCCAGTACCACAGTCATGTGGAGAGAGGGGAGTAGACACCAATAGGACACACCACCAAGGTCACTTTCCAAGTACCCGCCTTGGGGTCACCCAGTGCGCATTCAGGAGGGTGGTGGGGCGGCCATCTGGGAGCACACCTTACCTTTGCAGTCCTACTGAATTCCAAGCAGTCCTGCAGCTCGAGCTTATCATTCTTTGATGCTATCACAGGCCTGGGGACAGCCAAAACCCATTACTTTCTACCCTCTGCAAAGGCCTTGCTCAGGCCCCTCCCAGGGTGGGAGGAGGGAGGGTCTTTGCGGCAAAAATGGGTCCAAGCAGTGAACATGCTCCTGTCATGTGATGGGCAACACACTAGGCCTAAGGACTAGTCTGGGTGCCAAGGATGGACCTGCCGCTGGAGGGGACGGTCCAATATCTGCAACTACTGCCTCACCTCCTGAGTTTTGGCATCGGTCAAAGCCATGCTACCTCTGAGGAAAGGAGGGAACAGTGGACAGGGAGACAGAGATTCCCTCGGTTTGCTCATTGATCAAGTCAAGCCAGCTCCATGGAAGGAAGTGCTGGCGGGGAAACCAGGGCCTCGTGCATGCTAGTTGCTCCAGGGCTGAGCTTCGGTTTTATAGGAAGAGCTGGGGCTGGATTTTGGTGGGACTACTTGATACACCAGGACAGCAAACAGAATTGATGGCTCATTACTGGGGATGCAGGCTGAGGACGCTGGAAGGTGGGGTGAGCCCCACGGGAAAGTGATGGGGAGGTGTCACATAAGGATCAATTGGGCTCTTAACAGTTAACTCTGGAAACTTATTTTGCAAATAAAGCGAAGCAAACAGGCCCAAGAAGGGCAAGGGACAGACGCAAAGCATTTGAGCAGTTCCAGGGCGGAAAGGCACAAGACATCTGCAAGCAGAGTGGCTGAACACAGGGCAGTCCCCGGTTATTAAGGCCAGAAGGAACTCGTACATGAAGGTGGAAACTGTCCACTGAGGCCGAGGAACCACACAAAACCTCTCCCTAGACTGCAGACCTCCTCCTCCTCACTTTCTAGGTTTCCAAAGTCACCCTATTCCTGTCCCTCTATTGCAACAGGGCAGGGCAAAACCACAGACTAGTAAAGACTAGCCTGGTGTGACTTACACAAACTAGATGATTTCAGGTCTCAGCCCCTGGTCCCTGCTCGACACGCACCCATAACCCCAGAGAGCTCGGTGGCAGCACCCATCGACTCACCCACCCTCCACCAAGAAACGAGATACCTATGAACCTTCCCAAAGCCCACCCCCAACGTGAACCTGTGATCATCCTTTAGCATATCAATGTGTCCAATCCTAGATTGGCAGCAGCACAATGGTGTCTGGGTCTAAACGTGAACATGATACCATTTGATTGGCTGACGAACCAATTAAAAAGATATGATATCCAACAGAAATTCTCAGAACCACTCTAAAACCCCCTCACCTCTACTCACATTTTGGTAAATGCCAGAAAATTATCATGCTTCCAACATTCCCTTGTAAAAGAAGGTGTTTCAAGCTAACATTTTCCCAGAACTGGGATGTCAGTTGCCACATTTTGCATCTTAATTAATGAGTTGTTCTTAAACCATGAATAGACACAATATTCAATCCTTGGCAAAACCCCTTGTTGTGGGTCTATCTAAAGAGATCTGAGCTAGCTCTGGTAAAAAATGCAAAGGTGGAAATGTTAGGAAACCTCAGGGAGATGTTTGGGGCCTACCATTTATCATCTCAACTCTGTCACACAGCTGGTCCAGATCCTTTATTTCAAGGGGAATGGGAATCATAACAATTTCCATGTCCTGACGGGTACTGCTATGGCAGCTGGGAGGAAAGGCAGAGCGCAGAAGGAACAACAAGAGGCATCCCTGGCATCAACATGGCTCCAGCACCTGGCACTCTTAAGAACCAGGCCTGTCTGCTCACCATCGGGAACAAATAAGTAGGCCTCAAGTCCTGGCCCAAGATTCCTTGAAATACCAAACAGGAATCAGCCGTGAGATACTGCAGATTGTTCTGAAGCCCAGACTGGGGTTGTTTCTCAGTACAGACAGCACTTTCTAGAAGACTGGAATGTGAAAGCTAACATCTGAATTTCTCTTGGCTGTTACCTGGGGTCCCACTAAGAGTCCCCTGTTACCTGTTCATCCCAGGTAGGTTTCCCCAGAAGTATCTAGCCCTGTGAGCAGCAGAAACTTTGATGGCATCAATCATCACTGGGTTACACTGCAGAGACAGAGAGAAGGGGAGCTGCTTGGAGACCACATCAGATGCCAGTGGTCACTCAGAGCAGGGCTTGGGGGATGGATGCAGGTGACTGAACTGCCTCTGGCTATGGAAGAAGGATGGATCTTCCAACCAGGATATAGGTCAAGGTACCCCCAAACAGCAACTCATATTACAGATCTGGCAAGTAGAGATCCGGGGTGAAAGAGGGCATCTGGGCCATATACAGCTCTGTACCTCTAGCTGCCAAGTTCAAAGAGCATCAGGGACATAGGTACCTCCCTGAGGCTCAAGCTATTAACATTTTGGCAAACACAAAAAAGTATTTAACAGGACTTGTTGTCTATTAAACAGAATATAATTTAATTTCCCTGAATCCTCAAAGCATCCATTTTCACAACAAGAACATTGAGTCAAATTTCATAGCAAAAGCAGAAGGTGGCTGCATTGTCGCTGATTTCTGTGGGTTATGGGATCTGGTCACAGCGCAGCCAAGACCCTGGGAAACACCAGCAGTTTATACTGCCAGCAGGGCCTTCCCTGCCCAGGTTGCCTTTGACCACCAGAGCCCTCTGGGCATCCTCACCTCCAGGAACCGTGAGATGTCCCTTTTGTCGCCGACCTTCATGGCTACAACATTCTCAAACATCCAGAAGAATGGCCGGTCATCCCCTTCTTTGGGGCGTGAGTAATTGAGCAGGTGGTAGAATTCGAAGAAGAGTCGGCCAGTGCCCTCTATGCCCAGACAGGAGAGAAGGGGACCAATCAAAGCCTTCAGCAAAATCCCCAGAGTTCTTTAAAACCACAGTAAGGACAGCACCATGGGTTCATCTCCCTAAGGTCCTGTGGAATGACTAACTAATAGCTGAGGGTGGAAAATCTGCTTTCATAAAAATGTAAGGAAGATCAATGGAGAAAAAGAACAAGAGAAGGGAGGGAGGGAGAGGGGGAAAGAGGAGGAAATAACTTGATTTTGTTAAATTCATTCCATAAGTATATATAAAGATACCAAAGGGAACAATCAGAAATAAACAAGGGAAAGAAAAATCAATAGAAAAGAGGAAGATGTGGGAGGAAGACAGAGAAATGGATATTGAAATCAAATTCCTTGTAGGCATGATTTTGTCAAAATGTACCCAACTGCTGCTTCTAACCATAAAAACAGGCAGGACAGTGTCCTTTCTTTGTGGGTCAAGGATGTACAATGGGGTTTGGACAGGGCCTGAGGCACCTAAAACAAAGGTCCCTTCTCAGGAGGTTCCACTGGACCAGACTCAGGTGTTGCCTGTGGGAGACAAAGTTGTTATGGGACAAAGAAGAGCTGCTCACCATACAGGCCTTTCCGGGCAGGATTCACATTTGATAGGTCATTGCATGGGCTTCCACCGATCACCAAATCAAATGGACCCCACTCTTCAATCTGAGGGACCAAAAGAGACAGGCTCAGGGCAAGAGTGTTTCCCAGGGAACTACCAAGAAAACCTCCTTCTAGAATCTTCCCTGGTCAGCAACTCCAAGGAAATGCACTCCTCACTACTGCCCAAGATGGAAACCAGTCTGTGGTTCGCTTTTGTGGTAAGTAAAAGTGTGTCTCTCTTCTACCCGAAACCCCGAGGCTCACATGGGAGTAGGGGACATTCAGGGTATAGGGGGCAAACAAGAGGAGAGACAAGCCCACCCGGGGAGAGGTGACCCTCACATTTTTCTTTGTGATGTTCCTGACGTCATTCACATATTTGATGTTTCCCTCGTGCTTCACGGTTCCAACGGCGATGGATTCTTCGCACACTTCTGAGGCGACATACTTTTCCACTTTAATGCCCAAGTCTTTGAGGACCAAGTAACCTGCACGGGGAGAGGCGGGCACTTGAACACAATGAGAGCAAGGGCAGAGCAGCTGGCTGGCCACGGCTTCCTGCCCTGGCAGAACAAGGACACTCCTCGCTACAGTAACTGGCAGTGTAAGAGTCAGCGCAGGCGAAGGCCACGGGGCACCAGGCAGAGGCTGTGTCTACTCCATCTGTTGGAACTGAAAATTGGAAAGAGCCAAGACGGTGGTAACTGTCACCTGACTGATGGACAGTATATTTGTGCAGGTGGATTGAAAAATTAGATGCCTGCATAGAATTAAAAAACACTAAAACAGGACTCAGAATGAGGGAGAAGGTAGAATAGGAAGAGAAGCCACGGGCAGGGCCCCCGAGGACATCCGAGGCCTTGAGACTCCCTGGCTGCGCACCCTTGTGGAAGCAGAGCCTCCCTAGTGAACTTACCTGTGGCAATTCCATCGAATAGTGACAGGACTCTAATGGGCCGCCTTTTGGCTGCGGGAATCGCAGGGTACAACTTGGGGGCCTCCTGCCAGATAAGGAAGGAGGGTCACAGAGGTGAAGGAGCAGGGGGAAGACTCAACCTCTGAGGAAGGGAAGGGATGACTTTCAGAGGGGTCCAAAGCCGGCTGTGGCTGCCACAGAAGCTTTGATGAGAACTGGCAAGGGAAGACACCATGTGCCACCATGCCCGGGGCAGGGAGTGGCCGCTCTATTCCCAGGTAGGAGGCCCGGCCAAGCACTAAAGGACAGACCCTCAACAGCAATTATCTAGGTGCTCTGGCTAAGAACAGGAAAAAACTATAAAGAAAAAAATAATTGAGATGTCCCAGGATTCCAGGTCCACACTGAGAAGCCAGGGACAAAGAGGCCTCCTTCAGAGCAGGCTGCCTGAGGCCCTGAGAGGCCACTTTTACATGATCTGATTCCCTTAACACCTGCATTCTTTTGAAGGCTATCTTCAGACCAGTGGCCCTGGGGCCTGTGGCTTACGTATTCGAGCCCCATGTCGCTGGTGAAGAAGGTCTGCAGGCGGACATTCCAGTCCTTCCGGCGCCGCAGGACTCCGTGGCAGCGCTGGGGGAGACACATGTAGCAGCTCCAGGGCTCCTGCAGCTTGGCGTCCTCCGCTGTGCCCTTGCCCACCAGCACCTCCAGACACTCCACACAGAAGCACCTGTACCCAGTGGCCAGGGAGAAGCTCTGTGACCAGGACGCCTTCCCTAGGTAGATGGCAACTCACTGCCTAACAACTTCAGCATGAACTGCAAGGTCCCGCATGATGCTCGGCACTTCTTATAATTCCTACCAATGGACAAAGCTCCAGAGAGGGAGTCTTCCCTGAAGCCCCCTGACCCACTCTTCCCCATGGGGCAGAGCACATCCCTATTTATCCATTTCTAGTCCTAGGACAACTACAATCAGCATGGCACATGATGGCTGTGCTCACGACTTCCACTTCACCTTAGCTCTCGGGGTGCAGGCCTGAGATTGCAAAAACAGGCAGCTGTACCAAGACTGCAGGAACTGCAGGGTACAACTCAGGAGCCCCGGGGCCTGAGGATGTGCCCATAGGGCCCAGTGCTCACCGGCAACAGCTTGTGTTGCTGCAGAGAAGCAGCTCACGGCCCTCACAGCACACGGTGCAGTAGGACTGATAACCATCGTCGTCGTACATGTAGAACAACTCAAGGAAGCGATCCTGCAGTCATGGAGAAAAGTCCGTGAACAAGTCAGAGGTGGCCTGGTATCCTTTAGGGGACAAAGGCTCTGGTTTGCAAGCCATTATAGATGAAGCTCTCTACTGGGCCACCCTCCCCTCCAAAAGGAAGACTGCAGGGTGCTGGAGACCTGCGAGACTTTCACTAATGCCTGTGCAAGTACCATCTGCAGAGAAAGGACCTGGAAGATTCTGGAGACAGGAAGAGGCAAGTGCAGGGCAAGGGGAGGAGGACTTACCCGGCACGTCTGGCAAAGCCCCCCCTCAAAGAGCGGGTGGAAGGACACGGGGTTTTTTCTACCACAGGACAAACAGCTATCTGTAAGAAAGACAGGGCCACAGGTTATGGCAATTACAGCTGCAAGGCCAGTTTGAGCAATCACTGCAAACTTGCAGTGTGCCCATCCCAGAGCCTGGGCACGCCAGGCTCACACACACAAAGGGCAGGCCAAACTGGATAACAATAGCAGCCCCTCCCACAGAGGAATATGTTTTGAGGACCTGGTGGGACAAGTTGGCCATGGTATGGCAGCAATTTGGGAGGCTGAGATAATCAAGGCCAGGCTAAAAATTACCCCTATACAAGGGCAGAAATTTGGTGCAACAGCACTCGTGGGTTAATCCCTTTTTCAGGGAGGGGGGGTAATAACACTGAAGCATTTGTAGTGACTCCAAATAGCTTTTGATGGCTGAGGATAGGAATTGCCCGTGGCATTTCCTATACAACACAGAGCTGTAATCTCTGAGCCCAAGTCCCCACCAATATGCTATTTTTGTCCTGGTGTCCTATCAGTAGGTCTGAAGTGTTTCAGTGACTTCTTGCCACAAACCAATCCTTCTACAGTAAAAGGGTCTCAGGTTATATGGATAACTATAGGTTGAAGGTTCCAGAGTGTCCAGGGATGCTCCAAAACCGGGCTTTCCCTGGGCTAGGGACTATCTTTTTCCTACTCAACACACATCTGTGGACTAAAGGCCACCGGGCTGAGGAAGAAGGGGCTTGCAGGTACTTCCTCCCGTTCATTAGGTCTGTATCATTAGGTCTGTTCTGTGTCTTGAATCCAGAGGAAGTTCCCAGCTAGCACATGCTGAACAGAGTCACTAGAGAGTGACAATGACAGTGTGTGCCCACCATTCACCTAAAAGCTAGTTCCTGGAGGACCTTGGTTTCAGGCTGTCTTGGCTCAAGTGCCTGCGGTTGCATTCTCTCATCACACCTCCCTACTCGCTCAATTAAAAATATTTCTCAATTAAAAAAAAATTTTTAAATTATCCTACTCAGTCTGTACAATGTTCCAACAGGGACACAAAGGAGGACAAGGAAGCCCAGATTTGAGCCCAGAGCTGTGGGAGAACCCAGGCAGGCCTTGGGTAGTACCCAGAGGGGAGGTAGATGGGGGGGGGGGTCAATGTTACCTTCCAGATTGTTCTTGTTGTTGGTAACATCAGAAACCATTTGTTCTGTTGAGGAGAGAGGGAGAACGTGTAAGGAGGTGAGCTCAGGGACAACAGGGTTGTGTTCTCATCTGCACCCTCCTTACAGGGTGGTCCTCACACCTGCCAGTGCAGACCGTCACCTCCCCTTCCCCAACAATCACCTCGGCTCTGATCTTCCTCTCCACGGTCCTTGCCATTGTTATAGCAGTTTGTCTTGAGGCGCTTGTTTGGGGGACAGTGGTCAGAGGCAGCTGAATCATCAGTTGTGCGTCTTCGACTCTTGTTTTCTGTGAAAGGCAAGCAAATAGCAGCCGTGGCTTGATTGGAGGAGGATACAGGATAGGTGGGCCCCCAGGCAGACCACACTGTGCTGAAAACCATCTACACCTAGGGCATCACAGGGGACTTAACACTGGGTGGACATGTCCATGACAGGCCACCAGAAGAGGAGCCAATCTAAAACCCTACCCCAGGTTGCAGGATCTTTCCTATGTGGGGGGTGAAAGAGCATGTCCTCTTGGACTCGCAAGAGGAAGTATAAAATGCAATCCACAGCTAAACCCTGACACATCTACAAGTGCTGTCCAACACGCTGCCCAGCAGTCACATGTGGTAACCAAGCATTTGAAATGCAACCAAGTGACTGAAGAATTTCCTTTGTCTTTGAATATCAACTGAAAATCTGGTAACTCATTTTAAAAAAAGTTCATTTGATATTAATTTGACATCTAAATCTACATTGGAAATGATTTGGTTAAACTGCATTCAATTGACAATTGATATTTGTATTTAATTCATCTATACTGCATCAACATTTAGCATCAGAATCAAGATGATATATACTGTATGCATGCCTACAATCCCAGCTTCTCAGGAGGCTGAGGTAGATGATCACAAATTCAATGTCAGGCTAGACTACATAACCCTGACTCATAAATAAAAATATAAGGAGTTGGAGTTGTTGCAGCTCAGTAGTAGAGAACCCCTGGGTTCACTTCTCACCACCAAAAAAGAAAAAAAAATCTTAGAATGTAGCTCAGTGGTAAACAACCTTTGGTTCAATCCCAGAATTAAGGTATATAGGAAAATCTATAAAAATACTTAATTTTTAAGAAAGTACTAAACAAAGGTGAAAAATCAATTTTTATATTACACTACCATTAATACTACAAACGTTATGTTAAAATGTATGAGTACTAAATTTTACATGTCCCCTTTCAATGAAAACTACTAGAAAATAATATGGTGGCTCCTTTGTTTAAATCCCATTCAGTTTTCTATTGAAACATAAAACCCCATTCATTTAACCATCAGGGTTAACTTTGACTCTGCCCTTGAGAAAGAAAATTATATAGCCATCAAAATCATAAGTACTCTTTTAGTGACAAAAATCACAATTGATAAGTGCTTAGACAATGAAAATTGAGAAATAAAGGGAAGGCAGTAGGAATCCAAAAGGGTTCAGAAAAGGCTAAGGATGTGCAACCCAACAAGATAACCTGGGGGAGGGAGTGAGGGGGGAGTGAGGGGGCTCAGATTGAAATTTGATTCTTTTCCAGTGACCATTGCATATGCCAAGAAATTGAAAGAGCAAAGAAAATAGAATATAGATGGGAAGGGAATACCGTGTTTCCTTGATTCTAAGTTCCTACTGCCTGCACGACGCACCTTCGATTTATTAACCACTTTGTAGGGGAAACAAAACAAAACAGAAAACATTAAATGTATGGATTGTTAAGACACATCCTGCATTTCAGGAAACCATGGGTATAATGGAGGAAATATGGTTATTGGAAAAAATGTTTAGGGTGTCACATTTAAGGTTTTCTCCAATGACCAATTTAATAATTTTTTTTCCTTTAAAAAAAGAAAGGATGCTTCCTGCTTATTCAACTTTTTATGAGATTCAATCTCGGTTTTATGTATATGACATTAATTTAGCATGAAAGTGTCTGAGGAGGCCAAGAAAGCCTGGAATGGCCTTCATCTGCGCTAGATGTTTCTCACAGGCCTGGGTTCACAGGACACAGTTCACAGGCCACGGAGGTGGGCCTCTGAGGAGTCTGGCTGCAGATCAGCTGGGTGGGGCATGGGCAGGTGGGGTGGCACGGTCTCTCAAGGGCTTCTCCCACCAGCAGAGGCAGCTGGCAGTGGGCGCTGCCTCAGGGACTCATTCCCACCTGGTTGGTTGTTGTTGGGTTTGAGGCCCTCGATCCCAGTGGGCTTGAAGCCCCCGTGGGCCCACTCCAACATGGGCTTCAGCTGGTCCTCCAAAGAGTCTCCAGGGCTGCTGGGGAAGGTCTTGCCAGCTCGTACCCTGGCTTTCTGCCAAGATATAAAGGCAGAGTCTGTGGTGAATGGGGGCGGAGATACTGCTCACCAGGGCGCACCCAGGGACTCCCCCTGCCAAGGCCAACATTCCCCTTGACACTGGACCCCATTCATAGCAGGACAGCTGTCCTGGGCTGCAGCACGTGACCTGGGAAGGAAGAATAGCCTGGGCAGGGAGACAGGCAAGAAATCATGGAACTCGGGGTGGGAGATGGTTAGTATTGTATCTTGCCCTATGGAAACAAAGTATGATCTCTTTCCTGTAGGGAATGAGCTTTCTTTTAACCAGAGGAATCAGAAAAGCTCTGCCACTTTGTGACAGTGGAAGTCTCTGTCAGCTCTACCTTAACACCTCTGTACCTCGTTCAAGATGGATAATGAAATGAAAATGAGAATGCAGTCAAGCATCCTTTATTACGTGGACCATTAGGCTTTGCAGGTGTTATTCAGAGAAACTAGCTGGCTCAGGAATGCCACATGAACCAAAACAATGTCAAGGCAAGGTAGGAGAAGGGAGAGCACTTAACAGTTCACATGTGATACCATGGCCCACAGACAAAGTGGCCTGAGGTGCTCTCCAATCTTGGCCTTGAACCACTCCACAATCATGGAGCCAGGGGGAGCTTTGAGGTCTCTGGAGAAATATACTGACATGAATCAACCTCCCACATACACACCCTTCCTGATTCAGACACTAATAATGACAAGCAGCAGGTGGGAGACCTCCCAATTAGGACACCAACACTGGTGATGTTCACCTCCTCTCTGATGGCACTGTGCCCTCCAAGCCATACTTGGCCTCTCAGTGACCTGAGCTAGCTCTCAGTAGACCTCGTTTCCTCCAGGATGAGGACCTGACTCCCCACTCCCCATGTTACCTCCAGGGCCTGGTACATGGCCTTCCTGTATGACACCAGTTTATTGAAGGTGGCCTGGTTAAAATGCTGACTGAACAGCCCTAAGGCCACCAGTTTGTCTGCAGAGACCTAGAAGAGAAAGACATCATCAACATCTACCTAACATCTGTAACTTCAGGAAGGAAGATTTTCACACACTTTATGTGATAGCCCATTCCTGGGGACAAAATTCACAGATGTCAATCCAGAAAGGAGAGAAAAAAAAAATATATATATATATATAAGAGAAATGGTACACAGAGTCCTGATACAAATAGAGGCAGCAATGGCACATTCCCCTCCAGAGGTGGGGAACAAGATACTCAGAAGGACAAACCAGGTATATATGTTGAGGTGTGAGGGGCGAGATCATTTTCCCAGGAACAACCCTGAGGCTTGGGTCTGTAATTCACTGTGCATACATTTTGTGTGAGATGTTTTGCTTCCCTCATTCCTGAATATAAGCCTGGTAGTTTTCTCTTCAGCTTTGGATTAAATAATTTCAGATATAATCAATTTGATCATTTAGTTATTTGATTTTAGGTATTGCAACTTGACATGCCAAGTCCCCAGGCCAAGTGGGAAATGAAAGTGTCCCAGGCAGCTGATCAGAGGTACAGGACGCATGTGCAGTGCCGTGGTCCTGAGAGTGCACTCCAAGGCTCTCCTCCGTTTTGTACACAGACTGATCTCCATGAAGAGGTGCAGCCACCATTCCTGTAGAAATGGCCAACTGCTACCAGCTGGAGCCACCCACAGGTATGCACTGTGCAGGATCTCATCCCACAATTCCAACAGTCCCATAATGACTCTTTTTGGCATCAGACCGTATCATGAAAACCATTTTCAATGTCACTGGGTCAAGACAATTCTAAGGAAGTAACCCTCTCTGGACCAGGCACTGCACAGGTGTCCTGTACATGTACATACAATCAGGGGCTTCGAGGCTAAAATAAGCCCAGGACACTTGTCCTTCTGCTCCCTCTGCTGGTCAGAGAGGACATCTTCATGCAGTGTCACCAGGCAGTCACATGTCTGTGATCCGCCTTGGGGAATCTCAGTGTCTATGAGAAGTGGCAGGAAAGAGGCCAATTCATGGAAAAACTAGAAGCTAGAAACCAGGAACAAATTAGATGATAACTCATTCCCACATTTGCTTTCATCTCGCCCAGCTTGTTAAATAGGAACCTCATAAAACCTGCTGGGAATTAAAGGTTGGAACGACTTTTTGGTTGTTTTTGAAAGAATACTGAAGATTGAACCCAGGGCCACATTGTTGGCCTATTTTTTTTTTTTTTTTTTGGGGTACCCCATCTCCCTTCTTATTGAACAGAGGCATTTAACCACTAAACTACATCCCAGCCTTTTTTTTAATTTTAACAAAGGTTTTGCTAAGTAAATGCTTACAGCATCACTAAATTGCTGAGGCTGGCTTTGAATTTGTAATCCTTCTGCCCCAGCCTCCTGGGCCACTGGGATTGCAGGCATGCGCCACCAAGACAAGATATTCCTAATTTGAGATAGAGTCTCACTAAGTTGACCAGCCTGGCTTCATACTATAAAATTATAATATTAGAAATATAGGCCCACCAACAGGTAAGCACACAGGTGTTGACTGACATTCCTAAGAGACCATGTCAGAAAAGGTCTTCTTCCTGCACTACTCAAACCAAAATTTTTTGCAGATCTCTTAACTGCACCGCAGGGCAGCGCGGGTGGGTATGGAGGATTGAAGTCAGGGGCACTTGACCACTGATCCACATCCCCAGACCCATTTTGTACTTTATTTAGAGACAAGGTGTCTCACTGAGTTGCTTAGAACTTTGCTGTTGCTGAGGCTGGCTCTGAACTTGCTATCCTCCTACCTCAACCTCCCAATCTGCTGGAATTACAGGCGTGTGCCACGACTCCCGGGTTGCTCAGGCTTTCTACAGGAGATAAAAACGTAATATAGCCCCAGTTGATACAGCATAAATGAGGCCCTGGACCCAGCAGTATTAACTATTGAGGCCCAGCACCTCAATAGTTAAAAATAAACAGAGAATTCCAGCAGAATTCATGGTCAAGGAAAAATTTTTTAAATGGTTCATATCAATCACCAAGAGGCTCTGAACTATAAATTTTTCCTAACTTGCCTCAAGGCAACATAAACCCACCTATAGGGGCGAGGCAGGGGTGCCCACCACACCCCCATTGCAGGCCTATATGAACAGATGGTGACCATCCCTTCTGACCTTTCTATTGAGTACATTTGGGTGCCAACCCAGGAAGATACCCCCTAAAATCTCAGATAGGTATATGATCTGCCCCAGAGAAATAAATCCAATAAGTAAATATAGCCTGGTGAATCCAGGACTTTCCACCCCTTGCTTATCCCCTTTGAAAGTGCAATGAGCTCTCTTGCCATAAACTCAAGTATCTGCTTAGCAGGTGAATACAGGTAAGCAGGGAGTACAGGTAAGCAGGGGTGTACAGGTAAGCAGGGAGTACAGGTAAGCAGGTGAATACAGGTAAGC